TGTATGCAATAATATAATTTTATTTGCGAAAGGGCATGTTTATTTTTGTTGTTTAATTTACATAACATTGGCCATCCTTAAGCACACAAAGTAAATCTTTTGTTGTCATGAATAAATTTTATCGTATCTTTTAAACTCGGCTTGTGTCGTCTATGTCATTTGTTATGTGCTGATAATTGTTGTTGATTCAAACATTTGATTAAAACATTTTTTTCGTAAGATTTTTTTACCAAAAATTCTTTATATTGAGCGCTGCTTTTTATTTGAATTAGTTCGCTATATGTCGCTTCAAATCAAAATTGTTTGTCTATTTAAAATACTACGTTTATTAGACAATATATTGAGTTTACCTACAACAGGAACGGTCAAATGGCTTATATTCTTTTTCTTGTTATCCAAGGTATGTTGTCAGACAGAAAAGGAAATTAGCCCTTGTGCTTCTGTGACCACCACAACAGATTTGCCGAACAAGCAAATGGACCCCACATTGGGATTCGTTGTTTTTAAGAAGATGAGTAGTCGGTGTTGGCCGAAACTTTCAATGTCGGGTTACAAAAAGTGATGAAGTTGGTTGGAGAAAGATTCACTCGGATGTCACAAAGATATCAGTAGTCACTCTTTGATAAAAGAAGCTACCTTAATCCGTTCGACAGCACTTCCTAAGGTTGGTTGTGCATGTTACACTGGGACATGATTCGACAACCGAACGGAACTCCTGACAGCCGTCTCTGTAGTTTTGTGATCTCTATGGCAGTGAATGCTGGACAATGCTCCTCACAAATGAAGAAGAGACTTGAAGCAACAGAAACATGGTTCTACAGAAGGATGCTGAGAATACCATGGACCGAGCAAGTCCTAGAAACAATATGAAAAAAAGGGATACATACTTAACATCAGAAAGAGACAGTTTAAATTTCTAGAGTACATGAAAGTAGGCTTGGAAAATTTCATACTCACAGGATAAATTGAAGGTTTTATTGCTCAGACCAAGATAGGGATTGTCCAAACGGAAGGAAATTTATTATTCCAATGCCTGATATCAAACTCAATTTGTGTGTATATGTATATGTGGGCGTGCGAGCTTGCGCATACATAAAATAGCACAAGAACACATGTCATTCACGTGCAACGCAGATATACGCATAGGTCCACAAAAAATGTACTCACTTTTTGCCTTCCTATAACTTTGTGATTTATTTTCAAATACAGGCATTTAATTTCATTTAAAATTTATTTTAAACCGTTAATCTTCTTTGTAAGACAATAACCTTTGATATTTCATATTATTAACAGTTAATCTTGTTTGCAAGTCAATAAACACATTTTTGAATCATTTCACCCCAAGCAAGCCACTAAGATGCAAGGAGTTACTGTTAGAGAATATGAGAAAAACTACTATTAAGGAGAGATGACAATAAAAGAATAAGAATTAAGAAGACAGAAGATGACGATTGGCATCGGATTTAAATTTCTGATGATCAAAGTTGACTGGAAAGCAAGAAGCTGGAAGAGATTTCTACAAGCGAGGAATGAACAAGAAAAGAAATTTCTACTATATATTTTGATTTCAAGCACTTTTCCATCGCCGTTATGTAGTTTCCCTTTGTCTTTTCTATAAATATTTTTATGGCAGTTGTACTAATGAGATCTCCTTCTTTGTATCTCGACTGCATGAATTTAAGTGTACTACTAGATTGGCAGATAGGTCTCGCCATTTTGCTGTTGAACTAGTACTCACAAATGAAGTGTCTTGTCTGTGGGACTCACTTCCGGTTCCGTGCTTCCCTGCTACCTAAAATTTTCAAAAGTTTAAATGCAACGTCAATCGCCACATTATGTCTTCCGGAAACCTGTTTATTCATTGTCCTTTCTCCTCACAAAAGTTTTCTCAGTTTCTTTCACCCTTAATAACACCTTGCGTCTTAGTGGCATTATCGCCTTGCTTAGGGTGAAGTGATTTAAAAATATGTTCATTTTTCCTTTGGTATCTATAGGGAGGCTTTGGGTTGTTATTATTATTATTATTATTTAATCATTTCATCTTAAGCAAGGCAATAAAGCCTCTAAGATGCAAGGAGTTACTGAATGTGAAATAATATAAGATAAAGAAAACATTATTAAGGAGAGCGAACAATAAAAGAACAGGAATTAAGAAGACAGAAGATAACGATTAACATTGCATTTAAATTTTTGAAGATCAAAGTCGCCTGGAACGCAAGAAGCTGGAAGAGATTTCTACAGGCGGGAAGTGCGAGAAAAGAAACTGTTAGCATAGAACTTAGTTACATATAAAAAAAAAAGATGAAATAATGTTGTAGAGTAGTTTTCACAGTGGAGGCTTGTATTTCAATAAGTCGTCCTAAATTAGGTTCGACGTACAAAACGTTAGGAACTTGCAATAATAGTTAATGACGCAGCAATCTAGTTGTGATGGTTGGTACTTCAATGTCCGATATCGACTGACTCGCTCAACACCACTGAGCCGAACTGGCACCCGCTACTACTACTACTACTTATTATGTGTGGGAGAGTCTATTAATAATAGAATAGGTACGTCAGGTATAACAAATAAGTACTGCGCTTAAATTCATAAAGTCTAGTTACCACAGAAAAAAGTTCAGCAGAACAATTACCATGAAAGCATTAATAGAAAAGGCGCGTGGAAACTATGTTACGGCGATGGAAAAAGGCCTGAAGCCGAAATGCCAGTTTGGGGCCAATAACATTGCCGATTTGTCTTTGTATTTCATCTAGAATCTATAAATACAGAGTAGAAGCTTCAGACCAGAAAGGCCAATAATATTCAATGTATGGACGAATGGTTGACTTAATTATTAATTAGATTTTATACTCAAGTATAAAATTAATAGGATTGCACTTTCCTACTGTACTGACCTCTAAGCGGAGCCTAGAATATGCAAATCCCCTTCTCTAGGGTATGGTTCATCTA